TTCCTTAGAACTTTGATCTCTATGTATTTAAAAAATATTTATTGGCCTCTAACAAAATTAGAAAAGAGGCTCTACAAGTTAGGAAAGAATCAGATCAGCCCAGGTTGTTAACAAGGGATGAATGATGAAAATGGTCAGATGTGTGCATGTACACACACACACACACACACACACACACACACAAACACACATCAGAGTATTATTCAGCCATAAAGAGGGGTGAGAAATAATGTCATTTGCAGGAAAATGGGTACAATAGGCTATCACTATATAAATAAAATGAGCCAGGCTTAGAAAGACAACTGCACTATAGATCTTTGCTATCCCTGGCTATATGGTTCCAAGGATACTACCGTTGAAGGGAAAACTATGACTGCTTAAGATACATCAAGTTCACTACTGCATTTCATTTTCACAGCAATGCCATGCTGATAAACTTCCTCTACTGCCCTTTAGAGAATCTAAGCTGCTTGCTGTTCCACTTAAGTAAGGACATTGCATTTGCTTTGCTTTGGGGGGCACCATTTGCTCTGTGGGAGACATAATTTCATAACATTCACATATAGGGTAGGGAAATGCCTGAGCTGCTCACACAATGATTTACACTTGTTGATGTTAACACAGAACTGATAGAAAGTTCATCTGCCTCAATTGAGTTGTGTAATGGGATTTAAGGTTGTTATTTTTTAATTAAAATTATTTCTGGACTGTTCATGGTCAAAACCATGTGTAGAAAAATCCACAGATAAAATGAGCTCTCATTGTATTACATGTTTTCTCTCATATGTGAAATCTTAGTTTTATAAAAAAAAAAGCTTGAAAATCTCAGAGGGATAGGTGGGGAAAAAGAGGAAGGGTGAACAAGAAATGTTAATATCAGTGATGAATATGACCAAAGAACATAATACATATGCATTCAAAAGTCACAGTAAGTATCAAAGATGGGGAGGGTGGTGGGGGGATGGTAGAGCAGGGCTGGTAAGGGGAAACAAAGGAGGAGGCAGCAATGCTTGATAAGAAATGTACTCATTACCTTGCTCATGTAATTGTAACCCTTCTGTATGGTATTTTCACAATAAAAACTTATTAATAATAAATTTTAAAAAGAATTCACCACCACCACCACAACAACAATAATAATAAAGTCACAGTAAAACCAATAAATTTGTGATAATGTGTACTAATAAAATAGAAGCAACAAATTCTCAGATGGATACATGGAGGGTAGGCACTAGGAAAGTGAATGATCACTATTGATTTTTTTTTAGTTCGCATTTTGGGGCACCATGAATGTATATAAAATGGGAGACATGCAAAAGGAAGAATAGCAGAAGCAATCTATAAACTATCTTTGAGTTTTCTTCTTGGAACAAAAATAGGCCAAATATTTTGAAAGTCCTCTAAATCTGCTTCTATTTTTCTTTTCTTTTTTGTTGTGTTTTTGGGGGGTAGGAGAGGGACCTTTATTTGCTAATATCTTTACTTGCTAGGCAAGCACTTTACCACTTAAACCATGCCTCTAGTTCTATTTGCTTGAGATTATTATTGTTTTCTTTTCAGATAGTGTTTTAACATCTTGTCCAGGGCCACTCTCATACTGAGACCCAGCTCCTGTTTAGTTGAGGTGATTGACATAAACCTCTATATCTTGCCTATTTGTTGAGTTGGGACTTCAGCATTTTTTTCCTGTCTGGCATTGAACTATGAACCTTCTTCTCTTCATCCCTGGAGTATCAGAGATTACATGTATGGTCTATCATGCCCTGCCTGTTCCTATTTTTTTGTGACTCACATTTTTAAAATAGAAATATATTTCCTTGTTTACTAATTCTCCAGGAAACTTTTTTTCAAAGATACATTTAACCTTATAATAATCTTTAATAATACCATAGTAGTCTTCAATAATAAAATCATCTTTCAACAATAAATTTAATCTTTTACTTAAACTTAAAGGACAGAACACCTTGATGTAGGGTACTTGCTAATTGGCCAAGAGAAGTACTATTTCCTTTCTTTCATCTATATGATCAGACATATGGAACATAGTATAACCATTCCATTACCAAAGAGCAGAGCTCAGCTGTGGAGCTGATTGAATGAAGCATACTTCATTGCTGAAGAGCCATCAACTTGGCCCAGTTTCAGTGGAGCTCTGCTGTCCCTGGGGAAACCTTATCACAGCAGAGGTGGATGGGAATTGGCTGGTGCATTGATTAGTGGAGACAGTGTTGCAGAGGGATGCAACCAGAATGATGCAAGTGTGCACAGCTGGTAGGTGGTGCTGTGTCCTGTTTTACCGCAGGTCCCTTTCTCAATGAGTATCTCATTAAGGTGCTTCTCTTAAAATGCAAAGTGGAAAATGTTTACAAATTATAAACTCCCTCTACTGCCAAATATGGCACAGAACTATTGATGATTCTGTCATCAGATTTACTATTGGCTATCTTGGTAGGCAACTTTGCCTATTTAGAGGAAATTTCAGTTTCAATCACAGGTTTGTTTCCTGTGTAAGCCTTTGGACATTGAGAGTATCTCTTTTTAATTTTAAAATCACTAGAAATGTTACTTCGATCAAAAGAACTCCTTCTTGAATGACTGTACTATTTCCTGGGTAGGTTCTGACTTGTTTTAGAAGTTATGCTTCCTAGATCTCCTAAAGAAGAAAAATCACGTGTCATCTGGGACTAGCTCTCTGGTCGTCTTGAAATGGCTGTAAATTGTTTTTCTGAGCAGTATTTGTTTTTTATTTATTAATACCATCAGGTTGCTATCTGTGAATACTACACTGAGATTTGAAAGTGGCCTTAAATTTTTACTTGAATACTGATTTTGAGGCTGTTGAAATAATTGAATCATTCAATATATTCACCATTAATTATATTTTAAACCTACCAGGAATTTACTGACTTGATTCATTTATGTATATGAATTATTGTCTCAGGATGAAGACCCTATGGCTACCAAGAATTTGTAGTTTCATGTGCTTCAGTTTCTTTTGGCAAGTTATCCACAATTAATACTAGAAGGAGGATCTGATGGCAGTGACTCAACACTAAATTAAAAACACAAGGTATGTTTCGCTCTTGCATTTCGTTACATATGTCTAAGACTGGAAATGGTAAAGATGGGCAAAAGGGGATTTGGGTCTAGAATGCGAAAGGAATAGCAGCCAGGGTCTGCTAGTGCCACGCTCATTTCTGGTGCTAAAAAGCTGACCCTGGCATTGTGGGGGTCAAAAGGTTCTGTGAAGTTTACCTTCAAAGAATTCAAATGTACAGATTGAAATAAGTGAGTAGGATGTATCCAATACAGCATTAAAAATTTAAAGCAAAGTGATAAATTAGGCTTGGTTAAGCATCCCCATAAAAAGATAAGACCAATGTGAATGTTTTAAAAAATGAACAGAGAAGACATTTGTGATTGGTAATATGCAATCTCTACAGGTGAGTGTCACACAGATCCAGGATGACAGTGGTGGGGGGGGCAGGGGGAAGGAGTGGAGGGTGGAGACAGATAGTAAAGGTCTGTTAACTAGCGTATAATCAGAGGGAAGCATATGGAATGGGAAGTTGTCACAATGAAAATTCGAATCATACTCTCCAGACAATGTATACCCAATGTTTCCTTTATCCTCAGGAAACTCTGAAGCTAGACAATATTCTCAGATGATCAAGAGACTAGAGGTTAGGAGCCTGTACAGTGAACTCACTCACACACCCACTAATCAAGTTTTAAGACTTCTCCATACATTATTCGCTTCATCTAAAAATCAAGATAACAGTTCCCATCTTGTATATTTGTGTGTGAATTAAGAGAAAATCATGAGGTCATAACAAGCACTTACTGAGTTTGATTTCGATTGCGTGGTTTGTTTCTGTTTGTGTTCAGTAAATAGCCTTCTGGATAAAGAATTAATTAGCGCTACCTCTTCAGAACTAAGAATCCTGTCTTTTGTCTGCAACAGCCTTAGATATGTGCTCTGGTGGTAAAAGAATGGTTTCACTGTCAGGAAGGGAGATGTACCAAAAAGAGGATTCATTAATATTGGAGAGGGTTTTCAATTTCAGGCTGAGTTGATGGGATGTCAAATGGTACAGTAATAGGTACAGTAATGATAAAATTATCTCCCTGGAGTGTAATGATAATGAAATTATATCATGAAAGAAAATATGTCATTAGTATTACACTGGTGATATCAACATAGATAAACAATACGGATTATTATTAGTGTTAATGGACCCTGGAAAATCTACGTTTGAATTTGGCATTAATGTTTAATAGCTTTGTTATCACTTTTTCACCCTGTTAAGCCTCAGAATTGAATCTCTAAGAGGAAAAATATACCTCATAGCATCATCCTCTACAAGAAACAAGCATAATAATAAAACAATAATGTAGATAATAATGACATTTTAGAAAGTAAACATGGGTGGAAAGGTAAATCATTAAAAAATGGAGTTTTGGATATGAATTGTCTTATAGCTCTTCAATTAGCACACTAGAACTGTTTGAAACATGCATAATATTTTTGAAGCTATTAGATGTATCTATTGATAAATGAAAGAATCTACCTTTCAATGATCAAAAAGCTGAAGTTGAGGTCTTATCTAGGACGTTTATTGGGGAAAACAGAATGGAGGCATTGGGGAGAATGAGACCGATGTCATTCCAAGGTCATATTAAGGTGACCATTTTCTAGTGGTCAAAAATTTCCCCAATGCAAGAATCACATCGTATTTCAAGTGCCACAAACTGGGAAAGCACTGTGAAGGAAAAGTTAGTGAGAGGTAAAGTTGCTGTGAGGACTGGGACTTGGAAGGGGGAGGGTGAAGCTGCCACGAGGCTTATTGTAGTTGATGTGAGCAACAGCTGGATGAAAGAAAAGTTAAGAGTACAACAGTGTCAAAAAATGGTCCAGCCTACCCAATCATTACTAATCAAAAATGCTATTCTTTTTGCAGATTTCCCAAGACAGCGTGCATTTGGGTAGCAAACCACAAATGGAAAATGCACACAATGTGACTGAATTCATTCTGCTGGGTATCACAAAGAATTCAGAGCTGGGGAAAGCCCTCTCTGCTCTGTTTCTCCTCATGTACACGGCCACGGTACTGGGAAACCTACTCATTGTGGTCACCATAGCTGTAAGCCCTAGTCTGCAGTCACCCATGTTTTTCTTCCTTACTTCCTTAGCCCTCATGGATGTCACCTACTCCTCAGTAATTACCCCCAAGTTGATTGTCAATTCCCTGTCTGAGAGAACGACCATCTCCTTTAGAGGTTGCATGACCCAGCTCTTCGCGGAACATTTCTTTGGTGGTGTAGGGATCATCCTTCTCATCGTGATGGCCTATGACCGCTACGTGGCCATCTGCAAACCCTTACACTACATGACCATCATGAGTCCTCGAGTGTGTTATCTGCTGGTGGCCGGGGCCTGGGTGGGAGCATGGCTCCATGCCACAATCCAGCTTCTTTTCATGTATCAAATTCCTTTCTGTGGCCCCAATATCATTGATCATTTTATGTGTGACTTGTTTCCATTGTTGAAACTGGCCTGCATGGACACTCACATCTTGGGTCTCTTGGTCATCCTCAACAGTGGGGTGATGTGTACAGCCCTCTTCCTTATCCTCATTGCTTCCTATGTGGTGATCCTCTGCTCCCTGAAGGCTTACAGCTCTGAAGGGAGGCGCAGAGCCCTCTCGACGTGCAGCTCCCACTTCACAGTGGTCGTCTTGTTCTTTGTGCCCTGTGTGTTCTTGTACATGAGGCCTGTGGTCACTTACCCCATAGACAAGGCAATGGCTGTGTCCTTTACTGTGGTGGAACCGATGTTAAATCCTCTGATCTACACCTTGAGGAATGCAGATGTGAAAAGGGCCCTGAGAAAATTCTGGATGAAACATAGGACTGTGGGCAGTCACTAATTTACATGCCAGTGAACCAATCTTTCCTATGAATCCAGGGGAAGCTTACCTTCTCTGATGGCTTCAACCCATTGGGCTCACAGCCGTCCATGGCAACTTTTAAGAACAAAACAAGTCAATTCATCACAGCATTCTGACTAACCAGATGACTTCCTATGTCAGCAAAACTTTTCATTCTACGAACTCTCACATGGCTCTAAGCATACTTCAAAAATATATTATAAATATGTGTATATATCTGTGTATATAATATATGTGTATATGTGTGTATCTGCCTGTGCCTAGTTTATGGTTGTTCCTTAATTTTCTTTTCTCTCTGATGGAATGCTGTCTCTCAGAGGATTTCCCCGACTAATTTCGTGTCATTGTTGTACACTTGCAGATGAACCTCTTCTTGAAAAGGGGAGAGAAAGAGAGAGACAGAGATAGAGAAGGAGAGAGAGATTTCCTGATGGTTCCAGTCACTCCCTTTTGTTATTTTCTACCTCTACACCATCTAAATTATTTTCTTACAATTTATGATCACAAATTATACTGCAAAATATTCCTTGACTTTTGTATTCCTCACTCCCCAAAATTATAGTTCTTGTCAAAGTAGGGATTGTAGTTATTCATTCATGCCAGATCTCCTCCAGTGGCCAAAAAACAAAAACAAAAACAAAACCTAGTCACTTAGTATGTGTTTGAGAAACATTCATAGGGATTTGTAGCCTTAGAATATTTTCAGAGAATTATAAAGGAAGAAGAGGAGAGAAGAAATATAAACACATTCCAGGAATTACAATTTTTGCTCAGGTGGAACACTGCCAAGTATTCTTTTAGGAAGCAATCTCATTTTCTTATGTGTGACATTTATGTATTTATTTACTTATAGTTTTAAATTTTTTATTATAAAGGTGATGCACACGGGGGTTACAGTTGTATAAGTCATATATTGAGTATCTTTCTTTTTGAACCGTGTCACTCCCTTTGTCAATCTCTCCCAGTTTCTCCCCTTCTAATCCCCATCTCTGCCCAGGTTGTATAGTTCATTCCAAAAATAGTGTCTAGTGAGTATCACTACTGAATTGGTTCATCCTCTGTCCCAACAATTCTGTGTTTCCCCTTCCCCTCTCCACGTCAGATAAACTGGTATATAAGACAAAGGGTACAGCAATCAAAAACAATGACAAAAGGGAATAAATTATTATAGGGGAAGAGGGGAACTGCAAACAGTAAAATAAAAACCTCTTGTTTCCATTTCTTGGAGTTAAGAGAGGCTACCACCCTACCAAAATTTTCAATGACCCCTTGTGGTATATCCTGTAATCCCAGCTACTCCTGGGTAGACACAGAGGCAGGAGCATGAGGAGTGTTAAGCCATCTCAGGCAAAATTGTGAGGAGTAGTCTCAGAAGAAACATAAAAATAAGTTCTGAGGAATGTAGCTCAAGGGATATAGCACTTGTCTAGTGTTAGCATAAGAAGCCCTGGGTTCAATCCTGAGTGCTATGTATACACAAATATTGTATCTTGAAATTATGCATTTACTATGGGATGAGAACACTACACAGACCTATTTTTTATTACTTTGGGGAATAATTTTGACAATTTATGTGAAATTTGGGTTTTCAAATGCAAAGGATATTTATTCTCCATGATTCTACTGTTTTTTTTTCTTAAAGCAGAAGGATATTGATAACCTAAGGGAAAGCAAACTTATAAGCAGTTTATTAACATTCTGCTTTCTTATTAAAATAAGTATGGGTGTTATTTGTGATGTTAATTATTACAGGATCAGTTGCAGTGTTTAGAGCAATTTTTAAATAATTACTTTTATTTATAAATAAATTATCTATGTTCAGTGGGTATCTATTTTACTAATCTCCAGAACATTCATTCATTCATTCATCCATTGAAGAGTATGTTTTTATATGAAACTTCCTATACCCTTCTGGGAGCTGGGTTTGCAGTGAGTGGTGAATGAAGCATGATCTCTTCCTTTTGCTTTGGAACTTATATTTTACTGCAGGAGACAACTTACAAACTGAAAACTAGAGACTCATACAGCAGTAGCTGGTTCTCAGAAAACTGCAGTAGAATAGAGGATGGCAAACTAGGAGACTCAATCTAGGCAGAGGGGGCTGGGTTTCAGTGGGAGAATTTGTAAATGGAGATATTTCAATGATGGGACAGAACCATCCATGAGCGTGTCAAGAGGAAGAAGGCTCAAGGTAAAAGAGAGACAGGTCTGTTCAGAAAGGAGCCTAAAGTAAAGATGGTGCACACTGTCAGTGCACAGGATTGCTATAAGAGGATGCGTGGTGGGATGGGATAGGAAGGCTGAGTGAAGGAAGCTCTGTTCAGGGAATATGTTCCAGGTTTGCAAAGGGCATAGACACCTATCTGACTCCATTAGAACAGGATTAAAATTGGATTCCTACATGGACTTCTCAATGCCTTCAGGAATCCCATTAAACATCTCAACTCATGGCTAGATTGATAAGGGAACACAATCTTTGTTTTCCCATAACTGCATTCTAGAGTCAAGTACCTGAATTCATTTCATGTTTTTTTTAACCCTGCCTATGTTAAGCATGAAGAAAATGACCTTCATCGTGTGATAATTTTGGGCTTTGTAAAACTGAATACAGACCATTAAAAATTAAGTCATTTACAAAACTAAGGAAGTGAAAGGAACATGAGATGCTTAGTTCTAAATATTTATAGGCTGCTTGATGAATTTGAGTGTCAAATTGTAGGTCCAGGGCTTTCATTTCTACACATAGGTAAGAACTATTCTGCTACCTATAATGAAATTATTAAATTACTAATGATCTGGTAGATTCCAGTGGTTCTTCTCTTTTTTCTCTGAAAGCCTTGAATTAATTCATGCTGAGTAGTTTTGTTCATTACGCACATTCTTTGCAGAATTTCTTCTTAGTATGGCCTGCTCTAAGACTCAAGCTCAGCACAGCACTCAGAAATGTCTTTCAAACTCTAAGTCAGATTATATCATCTCTCCAAATCATTTAGAGTAGAAGCTAAACCCTTACAATTACTCAAGTTCTGACAGCTGGGTTCTGGCTACCCAGTTACCTCCCTGATCTCTCAGTGGGACATTTCCATTCATGCTGCTGCCTCTCTGGTCCTGTTATTTACCAAGAATGTTCTTACCACAGAGCTTTTGCTCCATAGACTAGACTACGTTCCCCTGTTATCTGTACAACTAAATCACTACATGTTAAAAGAATGGAAGAACCGATACTTTAAGCAGTTCTGACCTCAGACTTGACTATATGAGGGACTGTTCTTGACTCCAAACCCTGGATTATATTGAAAATTTTAAGTTTTCTTTCAGTGTCAGGGACTGGGCAGTGCCTCCACACAGGTTATTCTAGCCAAGACTTGACTGAATGGATTTCATCCCAGATTATCCCCTCTGCAGTTTTTCCAATGTAACATCCTACTCATGAGGTCAACCAGATGTCTTCAGAGCTTCTAGCTACTGTACCTAAGATATACCAGGCTCTGTAGCCAAATAATATCATTGAAAGAGTTCAGCTTAATCATGCAAATGGCTCCAATAGGCTAGTTCATCATTTTTTTCCATAAGGTTACATTACATTGGTTACTAGAATTCTATAAGCATATAGATTTAGGGTAACATATGAAAAGTTCAGTGTTCTGCTTATCAATGGGCTCTGAATGACTTCTGATTTTGACCATGTGCGTGAGCTCCTCATGAGCTTTTTCACCTACCAATGATTGAAATGCTAGGGCTTATAGACCTGCAGTTGGTGGGGTGGTCACAGCATGTTTTATCCTTTGTGTCCTTCCTGCTGGCACCCAGGGAGGTCACTCCTTCATGGTCATAATCTCCATGCTGAATTGCCATGTAGTTTTGTAGGAATAGTGCACTTACCACCTTCAAGATCTCTCAAGGACATTTTACTATGATGCTGACTTGCCTGGAGTTCCTGCCTTGTCTTGCTGCAATTGGATAGGACGATTTTACATAACCTTGTGTTGGTCTTAAACCATGGTCATGACAAGCCTGAACTGCACATATGGGGAAGTTTTCAGTATTGGTGGACAAATCTTTTTTTCTGTTCTCCTGGGTGTGGTAGCATTGTGTGGAAGGCAATAATGTAGACAATGGCAGAAGGCAACTCATTTTTGGAATGATGCAGTGCTTATGGCAAATAGTTTAAGGGATGTCCTGGCCAGAAGCTGTGTAGTTCTGGACTTCAGTTATAAAACCCGTCAATTTGACAGGACCAGTTAAAGAATGACTGTTCCCATTTTCTTGTATTAGCTTGTCATCAGTTTGGTAGGCATGATAATTATTAAGTGAGTGTCTGTGAGAGTGAGAAGAAGCCAGCACACACAGGAAATCTGGTAAATTGTGCAGTATAAAGAAAAGTGGTTTAAAATGGAGTGGAGCCCAAGCCCAGAGTTCAAGCCTCATGACTGACCAAAAAATTGGAGTGGAACAATTTATACAGAGATACCATTTCAATGGTTGAACAGAGCATTCTAAGATGACTATAGATGACTAGACTGTATGAAGACTGGTTAAATCGTTCAATGTTGCAACTTAGCTGGGTTTGTGTCTGTTCATACACTACAGAAAACATGACAGTTTGGTCAATATGTAAGTGTTTCTACATGTAAATGTAAATGTTATTCTTTAGATAATGCCATACTTCTCCTAAACAATATATGTTCCTTTCTGGATTGATGCCACCTTATCCTAGAACTCTGCTCTTAACTCAGTCTTATCTTGAATCCTGCAAAGAGAAACATTCCCATCATTGTGCACAGCATCCTATTCCTGGACATGACAGGAAATGAAATAATCTCTCAATAGAAATGTAGGAGAAGTTTAAAAGGAAAAAAATAAACCCTTTAATTGTTTGGGGACATCCAAGTTTGGTAGACACTTGAGTAAGGGAACATTCACACATAATTATGTCTTAGACATCACACTGATGGAAAATTTCCAAGTCCTGGGGTGGGTGTGGCTAACAGGTTCATGAACTCTCCGGGAAACCTTTTTAAATTCTAGCAGGAAGTCAAAGAAGAAACTTTGGGCTTCTTCAGTTTGTGTTTCTGAGTCCAGGCTGAATACATCCCTTGAATAGCAGTGCAAACATTAACAGAGATGCTCACTGTCCTTGTCTGAGATGAGAAGGAAGACATGGAAATACCTTTCACAGTGTGGCCAGACACAGAATGGACTTTTCTCAGCAGAAAGTAGGTGATTGCCATCATTTGTATTTTAAGGAAAGAATATATGCTGGGTTACATATTTGTGCATTTTTTGACACAATGTTAAAATATGACTCAGTGCTTAACAGTGTGGGTATGATATTCAAGTAACTCATACTACGCTTGAGCCTTTCAATAACTCCAAGCACCGGGGCTCATTATATAATCTTCTGGCCTTAAGACTCTTCGTCATATGTAATGGGAATTTATTTATTAAAGATCAAGATATAGATTTTTTTCATCAAGATCAATATTTGTAGCGATTGTTTTACCAAGGAAGGAGAGAAATGAATAACATGGTATACATGGAGTGCATACAATAACATCTGATACATAGTAAGTGTAAACAAACAACAGACACCATTCCAAATGATCAAATCTGTGAAGTGGTGGGGTGATTGGGAGCTCCTACTCCTTGGAGTTTAATGAAGTTAAACCTGTCTCCAGACTGTTATCTTCAACTTAAACAACTTAGAAATGCAACTGTGAATAATGTGGCCCCACTTTCCTTCCATGTCCTTTCAAAACATGTCATTCATGTTGCCATCTTCTAACACACATCTTCCTCTTCCTCTTGACAGTTTAGACTAACAGTGGAACTTTCAGAGGCTATGTGAAGAATGTTGGTGTTAAAAGCAAATTCAAGTTGTACTATGGTGAAGTTACTGAAGCACAATGTAGCACTTTCAATTTCTACAAACTAACAAGTGGCCAGGAGAAGTACGTGAATGGTAAGAGAGTGACCAGAGTCACACAGTAGAGCCTTCTAATGTAACTATGCCTGCTGAACTTTTGTTAATTGGGTTTGATGTTATAAATTGCACTAGATACCTGCTTCATAGTTGTTCAGGAAAACTGAAAAAAGATGAAGCACTGTTTGCTTTAATGCTGTTAAACTACTAAAATACTAGAACAATGAATGACAAGGTTCAGAGGTCAGAGAAGAAAGACAAATGGAAAGAGAAATAATGGAATATCATTAAAGGAGGGAAGTGGTACCCAGCTGCCGAGAGAACATAGCTCCCAAGTAGTCACCAAGAGGAATATGCTTATCTAGACAGGCAGGAATAAACCTTTCACTAATGAATAATAATTCTGTATCAGAAATAGAGTGGATTAAATAATTTTAGTGCAACCCCCCCAAAAAAAAGAATAGATGGAATTAAGGAACATAACAGAGAAAGTAATTATTTATTAGATTTTAATTTAGTTTTTTTTTTTACTTTTTTTTGTCAGTCGGGGGGCTTGAACTCTGGGCTTGGGTGCTGTCCCTCAGGCTAGCTCAAGGTGAGCGCTCTACCGCTTGAGCCACAGTGCCACTTCCGGCTTTCTAGTGGTTTTATTGGAGATAAGAGTCTCACAGACTTTCCTGCCTGGGCTGGCTTTGAACTGTGATCCTCAGATCTCAGTCTCCTGAGTAGCTAGGATGACAGGCGTGAGCCACCGGCACCCGGGCTTAATTTAGTTTTTAATGTGTCATAATATTCTTTAATAAACTGTATGCAGATGTGACTCTGAGGCCTAAATATGGGTGCACAACTCAAAAGGATGAGATTTACTTGTTTGAAAACAGTTTTGCAAAATACACTGCTTAAAAGGATAACCTTTCCACTAAATCGTTTTAGCTTTGTTTTGGTGTGTGTGTGTGTGTGTGTGTGTGTGTGTGTGTGTGTGTATACTTAAAAACAATGGAAACAAATTTTATCTTATTTGTTTCACTTATTATATAAGTGTTTCATCTTCTAAATACTCATATCACTATTTTATATTTCATTATTTATTGTTATTTTTAACCAGAATCACTATTTGAAAACAGGACCTCAGACTTGCTTGGCTGCTTTTCTACCACTTGGGCCATGTTTCAAATCCAGATTTTTGCTGGTTCTTTTGAAGATGGAGTCTTGTGGACTTTTCTGCCTGGGCTGGACTTGAACTGGTAGCAGCTTGTGCATTCTTCTTGTCTTCTGTGTTTCTGAGAGCTCTCATGTTTTTTATTACCATCTCATAAGATCTCTATGCAGAGACATTCTTGTTAAAATTATGGAAGGAGAACTCCTGGCGAGTAGTCCTTCTTTTATCTTGATTACATTGGTGCTTTGTTTTGATTTTTCTTGGAGGCTAGAATTTGTCTTATATTCTTATTTTTGTGGTGCTTGTTGGCACATGATTTGGGTTTATACTACAGATACCATGTAGGAATGGAGTTGAGAACACAGTGGCAATGCTTGTTTTAAAGTAAGCAGGAGAAAGGGTTCGGAATATATTAGTGGTAGAATACTTTTTCAGCCTCTGAGAGGGCATGACAAGAATACAAAAAAATAATGTAACACAGAAACAAATGTACAAATCCCATTCATTTGTTTTATTACCAATTTAATTTTTTCTGTCAACTGTAATTTGAAATTTGAAGTTTATTTCTCAGAGTAACATCATTATATACATCATTATATAACATCATTTTATACATACACATATCCTACTTGGCTGATATATTTAATCAAAATGAACACATCAGGATATAAGCACTATTTGAAGCCACATCTATCAGTGAAAGATGAATGGAAAAATCTTACTATGAGTAAAGGAACTGGTTTTTATATGTGATATCATAACTGAAGTTGGTAATGGTACACTATTATAAGCCATATTTTCATATGTTGACCTTCAGTATAATGTTGGGAGATGAACATAACTGCTTTTTAAGAAAGTAATAAAAATGTGAACAGTATGTGTCTTGAGGAATTATATTCACCCAAACTAAGTCACATCATATAAATAATGGTCAGAAGATTGATATAGCTACTATTCTGGATGACAGACATCTTTTTTCTTTTTTTTTTCTTTTTTTATTGTGAGAATACCATACGGTGGAGTTACAATTACATTGGCAAGATAATGAGTAAATTTCTTATCAAGCATTGTTGCCTCCTCTTTGTTTCCCCTTCCCATCCTTTCCCATACTCCTCCCCTCCTCCCACTCGACCCTCCCCCCACCCTCCACCAAAGTTGTAGAGTTCGTTTTTGGACATAATGACTTGTACATCTCATTGTTGCAATGGGTCCACCTGTATCCCGAGTTAAACGATTTGTTTTTTCCCTTCCCCTCCACAAATTATACCAACATCAAATACAGTGAAAGCATGGGTTATACTGTGGGGGAGGGTCATACAAAGCAACAAAGAAATCATCTTATAAATATGTTAGAAACAATTGCATGAAAGGAAAAAAAAACAAAAAAATTTGAATACTTATCTTGGGTGGGCAAAGTGCTTGCCTATCAAGTGCAATGTCCTGGGTTCAATCCCCAGTACCAAAAAAGAAAAGACAAAAAAAATACAGTTAAAAAAAAAAACAAACAAAAATCATTTTTTTCTTTTACTAGCCTACTTGGTTGTTATCAATTTACATTTGTGACTATTTTCCTATAACCTTTTGATTCTCTTATCATTTTCTCTGATTCTTTTTTCTCAAGATGCCCCAACTAAAACACAGAGGAACCAGAGACTTTAATATTCATTATTGGATGGAAACTCTAGAAAGTCCACTCCTTCTCTAAAGAGAAGGTGAAAATCCTACTCTTTTTTCCTTTTTGGTCTAGCAGGAAGGACTTGGGTGTAAGGACAGAAGTTCTGTTTAACTTCCCAGTTCAGGCAGTTGTTTGTTTTAGCATAAGCTTCTAAGGCATGAATATCTCACAAATAAATAGGGGTTAGAGTATCTAGACTGTTCCTCGTCAGTGGTCCTGTGTACTATAATTACTTTCCAAGCACTATTTCATTTAGTCATTATGAATACACTTGGCTCTAGGCATTTGCATTTTTATGTGCTCTGGTTCTAGTTTTTAAATGGTAAATGAAAAAACAAACTTCAATATTTAGTACATGTTTGTGCTGTTTGTAACTAGGATTATTTATGTAGATCTTTTTCCTTTATAACAAACAAGCTGATTCATGAAAAGACCCAGTGTAGATTTTTAAAGAAAAATTTTGAAGAGTGGTTGTGATTTTTCAATTGCCTCATAATTTCTTTTTCTGTGTGTAGGTATGATATTTTCCAGATCAAAGCTGTCTTGCTAGTGACCCTTGAACCTGTTCCTTCAAAATGGCAGACATGGCTAATTACAGTCTTCATTATCTCATGGTGTGGAAGATGTTTCAGAATGTTTGTCAACATTTCACTTCAGAATTTCAAAAGTAAATTATCATTCATTACATCCAAAATGGAATTTATCCACCTCTGTAAGACCTCTATGTAAAAGATCTCACTGAATTAAAGTATTCAGTAGTTTATCTTTACCTCAACTCTGACCAAGTTTTAATTGGCTAGTTTCTTAAATTCCTAATTTTGTGTTCCTATTGATAATACAAGCATTCAACATAATTCTGCCTCTAAGTGCCCTGTACTGTTGATGATAACACTATTTTGAACTTAAAGTGTATCTTTATCATAGTTGCAAAATTGTATAATCACCCTTTTAGAGTCACATTTCCTGTGAATCATGAAAAACCAAAGCATTGTAACTGAATTCATCTTTCTTGGGCTTTCACAAAACCCAAAAGTTGAAAAGATACTATTTGTTGTGTTTTTGTTTGTCTACATTGCAACTCTCGGAGGCAACATGTTCATTGTAGGGACCATCCTCTGCAGCCCTACACTGCTGGGCTCCCCCATGTACTTCTTCCTGGCATTCCTGTCCTTTCTTGATGCATGCTTCTCTTCTGCCATGACCCCGAAGATGATTGCAGATTCCCTCTATGAGAGGAAAACCATCTCCTTTGAAGGCTGCATGGTGCAACTTTTTGCAGAACACTTCTTTGGTGGTGCAGAGGTAATTGTCCTCACCTCCATGGCCTATGACCGCTATGTGGCCATTTGCAAACCCTTGCACTACTCTTCCATCATGAACTGGAGGCTCTGTGGCATTCTGGTGGGGGTAGCCTGGACTGGTGGCTTCCTGCATTCCATCATACAGATTCTCTTTACTCTCCAGCTGCCCTTCTGTGGCCCCAATGTCATTGATCATTTCATCTGTGATTTGTACCCTTTGCTGAGTCTTGCCTGCACTGACACTCACGTGTTTGGACTTGTGGTGGTGGCCAACAGTGGATTTATCTGCATTCTGATCTTCTCCTTGCTGCTCATCTCCTATGGTTTTATCTTGATTTCTCTGAGAGCTCACAGTGCTGAAGGGCGGCGGAAAGCTCTGTCTACCTGTGGATCGCACATTGCTGTGGTAATTTTGTTCTTTGTCCCGTGTATCTTTACATATGTAAGGCCTCCAACTGCCTTCTCCTCTGACAAAATGGTGTCAATATTTTATACCATGCTCGCTCCCTTGCTCAACCCTATGATTTACACTTTTAGGAATAAGGAAGTAAAAAATGCCATGAGAAAAATGTGGAAGAGGTTGATAGTGGTCTCTGATGAAAGATAAAAACTTTTAAACTGTGAAATAATGTAAGGACTAAAGAAATAAGAATGTCTTAGATAAAAACTCCATGAGCTGGTCATTATCAGAGGAAAGAATTCATTTCTATAGTCATGAGGTGGGAAAATGATGCTTTTACTTTTACAGCAAATATCTCCAGCTTAATGTCTGTAAGGAAATTGAAGGGAATTGAATTTTTAAACTTACCGAAAAATCTACTAGGCAAACAAACCAACAAAAAGAGTGGAAAACATTTCCTGCTAAATTTTTGATGATGAACTTCATGCTTTGAAAACCTTGTGGAGGACAGACAAAATATCTAAGGCATTGAGACAGAAGCTTCAACTTTTTCCAATGGAAATACATTTTGATTCAGGGTAGTGATCTTAGTGTCTTAGATGATAAAAACCCACAAGAATGTAGGAAAGACAGAAAGAATATTCATAGTGTACAGGTATTTCTGTATCTTATGTTTTCATCATTTGAGATGTGTCCATTGCCACTTGCTACAGAATTTGAGCCACTTATATTATTTCAGAGATAGAAGTTGGTTCTCCCATTTCAGTGTACCAGAATTTGTTATGTGTCAGGTGATCACTTCATTCAACCATTTTTGGAGAAAAGGTTATTGAGGATTGTAGAAAAGATTCATCAGTGACTATCTTTTATTCAAGTATTACCATGATGGATTGTCAAGATACACATTATCAGCAAAATCACATTCAAGTGAAGATGTAGTGAGCTGACTTCTTCTATCCCTAAAGGTGAAATAGAATCCAGAGATATCATAGAAGTAAAAGCATGATTCAAAGGAGAATTATATTTTTAATCTACTGGAGATTTTTAGTTTCTTGGCCTTATTGTACCCTAATAAAATAATTCTCATTGGACAATTTTCACTGAATAAAGCGTTCAAATTTATGTATGGCTTATATCTCATACTCATAAAGTTTGTAAAACTGAAAATGTCATTTGGCCTCTGCAAAAAAATATTTACAGTACAATATTTAAATATCTCATAGGATATCAGCATGAAAATGGCTAATAATTTAATATTACGGAGATCCACAAATATGAGATTAAAAGTAGATTCTAAGGCCTCGACTATACAAAAATGTATTAAAATGAATAAATATATTTAAGTAAAATCTGGAACTTTGAAAATATTGTATTAAACATAGGGAAACACACTTATATAGATATATATCAAGCATATATGCATTATATATGTTTACATGTAAACCTATATGTAAATAAGTAAATATATATTAATATATTTATCTGTCTATCCATATATCCATCTGTCTATATAGAGACATATTAAAAGACATTCTGAATAGAACCCTAGTAGCTTACAGATCCCTTTTACAAATTGCAATTTGTAATTTGTAAATACATTTACATTATATTATTTCTATCACATAATTGGGATTTCATTACATGAGAAAGCTTTGGCACAGCAAAAGAAGCAATCAACAAAGTGACATATCCATTAAACTATTGAAATAAGAAGACACATAATTTGCATATGAACAATCCCAGTAAAATTCTCCTAGTTTTTCCTTAATTTTGTTCTTATATTTTTTTTGTTATGACCATAAACAAATACAAATATGTTACTATCCACTAAACACCAGATTTTATTTATGTTGAAATATGTTTTTATTTCCTGCCACTGACCTTTCAAGTTAGTAGAGTTCAATCTAGAACAACACAGTGCATTATAGACTATCAGCTTTTAGCAGACTTAAAATTATAATCTGTGAACACATTGTAGTCTGCATTGCTGAAGTTTTTGCAGTAAAACTGCAATCTCTGTACAAGAAAAGAAATTATTGATTTGGTTCTATCAGATGGAAGGAGTATTTTAAGGAAAAGTCTTATTACTCTCCTAACATTAAGAGAAAGTGGAGATACAGCAGCAGTTTAATTATTACAGAAATAAGTATTTTGTCTTCTTACAATCCGCCATTCAGTATGGTTTCCTTTGGATACTGGTATTATCTGAAAGAGAAGTGAATACAGGTGAATCAGAGGTGTGGAATGATTCATTTCAGGATTATCAAAGATATTTAAAAGTGCCATGCACTTTCACAATGTCATGTTGTATTATTGAATATGAGAGGGGAGAAGATAAAAAGGCCATATGTTATTTATCATGATTGCCAATATTTTATAATCATTGCAACAAGTGAAAGCACTGACACAATGATTGTGTCTTAAAAAGTCATGCTGAAGGAAAGTTTCCAAACTCTGTGGGGAAATTGAGAATCAATTCTACAGGTGCATGACCTCTTTGGGAAAACTTTTAATAACAGTTGGAAACCAAGGAGGCAATTTTGCTTCTTCATTTTTCTTTTATGGTGTCAATGGTAACGCTGGAGAAGCAGAGCAAACGTTCTCCAACTTGATGGCCAGGGATATTCTTCATCTCTCTTAGATATAATAGGAGTTGAAGATGAAGATCATTTTGTTCACCACTGGATGAACTTTTCTCCATAGAAGGTACAGATGGTTATCCTCAAGTGGTTCCCAGAAATTATATGTGTTGAGATTTATAACTTGAACTTTTTAATGGAATTTTCAGATCTGATTTTAAGTTGTGATAAAGTGATTTAAAGTGTTTGTGTGTGTGTGTGTGTGTGTGTGTGTGTGTGTGTGTGTGTGTGGTGTGTTATGGACAGGCTACTATTTTAATGCAACACTTGGGTCTTTTACTTAATCTCTTGGCATATTCTGTCTTTTACTTAATATTTTGGTATATTTGAGTTAGTTATGTAAATTCTAGCCTTGAGGCTCCTCATCTTTATTGGACATGTATTACTAAAATCAGTGGATATGGAAATGAACAAAATGACATATTTGGGTATCAGAAAAAAGTACTTGACAAATAGTGCCCAATAGACAGAAAAATAACAGTTATTTCACAAGTCCATTTTCTTCCCTTCCTTCCTTCCTTCCTTCCTTCCTTCCTTCCTTCCTTCCTTCCTTTCTCCCTCCCTTCCTGCCTTCCTGCTTTCCTGCCTTCCTCCTCCTTTTCTTCTTTTCCCTCTCTCCCTTCCTTTCTCCTCTTTTCCCTCTCTCTTTCTTTCCTTTTGCTCCCTGGCTCCTTCCCTCCATTATTTCCTTCTTTCTTTCTTTTGCTCCCTCCCTCCCTTCTTCTTCCTTTCCTCCTTTCTTCCCCTCCCTCCTTCCCTCCCTTCCTTCCTTCCTTCCTTCCTTCCTTCCTTCCTTCCTTCCTTCCTTCCTTCCTTCTTTCCTTCCTCCCTCCTTCCCTGCCTTCCTGCCTTCCTGCTTTCCTGCCTTCCTCCTCCTTTTCTTCCTTTCCGTCTCTCCCTTCCTTTCTCCTCTTTTCCCTCTCTCTTTCTTTCTTTCCTTTTGCTCCCTGGCTCCCTCCCTCCATTATTTCCTTCTTTCTTTCTTTTGCTCCCTCCCTCCCTTCTTTCTCCTTTCCTCCTCTTCCTCCTTCTTTCTCCTCCTTCCTTCCTCCCTCTCTCCCTCCCTCCCTCCCTCCCTTCTTCCTTCCTTCCTTCTTTCTTCCCTCTCTCCCTGCCTTCTTTCTTTCTCTCCCTTCTTTTCTCTCTTTCTTTTATCCCTCTCTCTCCCCATCTTCTTTGCTTTCTCCTTTCTTCCATCCCTTTCTTCTTTATTGCTCTCTTACACTAAAACCATCTGTCTCCTCAAGTGTCATGAAGTGAAACTTATTTTAACTTTTTACCTTCAAAGTGAAACCAAATATAAAAATGCAAGTGAGTACTTTTCTGTGCATTCTCAAACAGAAGCTCATCCCTTATTTCTAATTTATCTTTTAGTCATCTTCTCATATTGATATTTTAGACTACGTTTAATACAGATATTAGAGCATAGTAGATTCAAGTTCTACTGTAGCATTCATAGATACTGATCAAGAATGTACAAATCTTTCTTTTCACATCACTCCATTAATAAATGATATTGAAGAAGAGGACCTTGAAGACAAAAACAAATGATTCAAGTCACAGAGTAGATTATTTTAATTTAACTTCCATTCACTTAATTTTCACCAACTGTATTTGTTCTCATAAATAGGACAAGATTCTTGCCCCAGCACTTCTGAGATAAGTGTTAATGGTGGTAACTTGCTCTTTATTGGAATCATAAGCCAAAATTACTAAGACAACAGAAAAGAAGACATTCCAGAATTCATTTAGAAGAACACCAGTAGAAGCAGAGAAAGGATATGTTCTCCTCCACATTTCATATGCAGTCAAAATATAAAGTTGAGCTGTTTAGAGAAATCAGTAGAATAGCACTGAGGGGAGAGAAAAGGATTTGGGATCTAAAGACTCAGTAGTCATGAAAAGGACTGTATTTCAATTGCCAGATAATGAATGATTCTTTCACTGGTGAATAATAATCCTATACCAAAGGTACAAAAACTTAAAAGAATTTAAAAATCATAATTACAAATAGTACTTTTAACAAAAATACTTATTTATGCCAGGCACTGGTAGCTCATGCCTGGAATCCTCACTACTCAAGGTGGCTGAGATCTGAGTATTGTGTTTCAAAGCTAGCCTGGGCAAGAAAGGCTTATCTCCAATAAACTACTCAAAAAACAAAAAACTGGAAGTAGCACTGTGGCTCAAGTGGTAGAGCGCTTGCCTGTAGCAAAAGAAGCTCAGGGACAGCACCCAGGCCCAGGTTTCAAGCCCTGGGACTGGCAAAAGAAATTGTTTAAAAAAAATTTTTTTTGTAAATGGCATGTAAATGTGACCAGTATGCACATATAAATTCATCTGAAATTTATTGCTTGATATATAATCATAAAACACTACTTTGCGATGTTCAAATTACCATTAATCTCTTTGATAACTCAGACTATTTTAAATATGTCACAGAAATTCTGTGATTTGCAGAATGAAGTTATTTCTGTTGCTGAAACTAATGGAAAGGAGACTGTGGTCCAGGAAGATAGTAGGGAAACAAGGACTTCCCCAAGACTACCACCAAAAAGACAGTGCAGA